GGGAAGAGCCGTCAGAGTCATAGTAGGGTGTCACTGGTAGGAAATTAGGACGCGCTGGCGCTGCATCTGCCTCTGAGCTGTCATCTTTTGTTGTCTTTTTCCTTAGTTTAAACTTTTTAAAAAGAGAAAGCGCGACTAAGCTTTCTTGAGTCCCTTGCTTCTCATGAACTTCTATGTCATTTTTTGTTTTTGCTTTTCATCAGAGAGAGAGATGGTGGATGTCGCCAGTGTACAGGCAAGCAGAGGATTAGGTGATTTGGGACGTTTCATGGAATCCCCCTTCGCTACATTCTTCCCGTGATCTTCTAGTATAGATTCAATGGAACCTTTGGATTTACTGTGCAAGCTTCCATTCCTCTCCTTTGGAGTAGAGGCTTTTCTCCTTGTTCTGACTGTGCTTTCCCAAGAGTTTCTTAAAGTTGTTTGTGAAGCCATGCTTGGTCTCTTCCACCCGATTGATCTCCTCGTGGAGGTCATTCCACTTCTCACTGTTGCTGTGGGAGTGCTCCTCGCCAAACGTTGGGCTCTGACTCCTTTCCGCTTTATCCTTTCCAGACACTTTTGTTCTTTTGGGTTCAACTTTTTTACCTTTTTTTGTAACGCCATCTTTTATTTCCTCTTGAACTGTCCTAATCAGGAAAGCAAACAAAACACTTTTGATCAGCGATTTAGTAAAATAATAAGGAAGATAAATGATATAAATTTTACTTGATATTTATGTTCAACTCCTTGAATTAAAAACTGAAAATCTGCACTTCAAATTAATTTGGAATGTTTAGTTTTAATGTATTCTGGTGGCATACAGAGCCAAAAGTCTGAAAATTGTGCCTGTGTCCAAATATATATGGACCTGTGTATGTGTGTGTGTATGTATGTATGTATGTATGTATGTATGTATGTACACACACACACACATTATATATAAACACACACACACACACACATACACACACACACACACACACACACACACACACACACACACACACACAACACACACACATATATATATATATATACATATACATACATACATACACACACATACATATATATATATATATGTATACACACACCACACACATACGAACCCCTTATATATACATACATACATATATACACACACACACAAATACACACTAGATAGTTTTTTGTTTTTTTTTGCAGAGGCCCTAGAAAATAAAATGGTGGGTGTTGCAATTTTTGTTTATGTCACATGATATGCAGTTTTTCAAACACAATTACACTTTAAATCAATTTGATTGCACACAAATACTATAGAAAACCCAATTTTTTTATAAAATATAAAAGATGATGTTACGCCGAGTAAATAGATACCTAACATGTCATGCTTTAAAACTGCGTATGCCGTTGGAACTGTGCCGAACTATAATACTTATAAATCTCCATAGGCGACACTGTAAACGCCTTTACAGGTTAACAATTTAAAGTCACACAGGCCTGGTTCTAGAATTATTGCTCTCACGATGACGTCTGCATCACAAATCTGGTGCGATCACCTTTTACATACGCATGCGGGACTTAAGTATGCATTCTCAATTGCGTGTAAGCACATGGGGGGAAAGGAGAGCTTTACCTTTTTTTTATTATTATTTATTCTATTTAAAGGATAAGTTCACCTTTCATAACATTCTTCCTATCAGAGTATATCGGCTTGCTTGTACAGGATGTATGTGGGCAAACAGATATGCTGACAGGTCTGCAGAAGACCTGCATAGCACCAGCGATCTGCTGATTGCTGGTACAATGCTTTACAGGCTCCTGCAACCAAAAATAATAAATGCACATTTTTTTACTTGCAAAAAAAAAAAAAAAAAAAAAAAAAAAAAAACTTATCCTTAAAGCGGAGTTCCACTTGACCTATACAAAAAAAAAAATTCAGCAGCTACAAAATTGTAGCTGCTGACTTTTAAAAAACAGTCACTTACCTGTCCCTCGATCCCGTGCTGTGTCCCCAGCAGCTAGTTTCACCGGCTGTCCTGGATTCCAGGAGGCCGGCATCTTCAGTGTGGGCACCCGGCTATGATAGCTTGCGGTTCACAGCCGGGTACCCACTGCGCATGCACGAGCAGCGCTGTGCTTCGTAAATGGTCCTGTAGTCTTCTGGGACCTGTCACGTGTCCCAAAAGAGACTACAGGGAGGGAGGGAGGGAGGGGAGGACATCTTCCATTTCCGATCGCCTAGGCCAGTGGTGGGCAACCTTTTTTTTCAACTGAGCCAAATCTCGCCAAAACCACGATTGAAATTTATTTTGAGAGCCACATTTTTAAAACTGAAAATACATCTCCCATATAGTAATTCATCCCCCATAGTAATTCATCCCCCATATAGTAATTCATCCCCCATATAGTAATTCATCCCATATAGTAATTCATCCCCCATATAGTAATTCATCCCCCATATAGTAATTCATCCCCCATATAGTAATTCATCGGCCCCCATATAGTAATTCATCCCCCATATAGTAATTCATATCCCCCATATAGTAATTCATCCCCCATATAGTAATTTTATCCCCCATATAGTAATTTATCCCCCATAGTAATTCATCCCCCATATAGTAAGTCCCCCCTGTGTCAATTCACTTAATTACCTTTGCTCCGCGCGTTCCTCTCGCCGTGTTCCCGCGCCGTTCTGGTCTTCAGGGCGGACTGTGAGAGGAGAGGAGTTCGTCACGCTGCCCCACCTACATCCTGGCTGCCCCGCCTACATCCTGACAGCTGCATTGTCCTGACTTTTGGGCGCGGCCGCCCGAGAGGAGGGAGGGGGGCGGCCGCCCGAGAGGAGGGAGGGGGGCGGCCCGCCCGAGAGGAGGGAGGGGGGCGGGCGCCCGAGAGGAGGGAGGGGAGCGGGCGCCCGGCACACAGAAGAGCCGCATTTAAGTTTGTAAAGAGCCGCATGTGGCTCGCGAGCCGCGGCTTGCCGACCACTGGCCTAGGCGATCGGACCGGAAGTGGGAGCGGGTACCTGTCAAATTTGGGTACCTGCTCCCCAAGGTGTCAATCCTTAATGGGGAGCGGAGGAGCAGTCCTTAAAGCAGAACTTCCCCTTTTGGGTGGGGCTCCGCTTTAAAAAAAAAAAAAAAAAAAAATGTAAAAGTAAAATTTTTTTTTCATTTTAATCAACTTTATTGTTATCACAAAGGATGAACAACATCCCTTATGACAGCATCACATCTCACCTCTGCCATGTTACGTGGCCTACCCAATGTGATGTGACAACATCACATTGGGAGGGGGAACAAACTGAGAGGGGAGGATCTGAGAGAAACTGTAGAAGCAGGAACATGTTCCACCTTAAAAATTTAATATGAAAGATTTAATATGAAAAATTTAATAAGAAAGCCTGTTTTTTTTGGGAGGAAATATCACTGCTTGCAGTCAGTTCATTAATTAATACAAAATACTGCAGAAGAGCTAAGCGGCATGCAGCAGACATTCCTTCATGTTCTCAGTGGGAAGTGGAGACAGACTACTATGGCCGGCACCTGGGCTGTCCATGTACAAATGATTCCAGTTTTGAGCGGAGCTATGGATCTGTGTGTCTCCATAATACCTACACAACTCCTCCAGCCACACTGCCCTTCTAGAGGGTGGAAAATGTCTGCACATTTGGGATCGGTCTGTGTAGTTGCTGTGTGAACAAGATCCAGTAATGGGCTTACCTGTGCAAGTACTTCTTAGGATCATGGTACACACGCCCCACATGACCCAGGTGCTTCCCCTCATCTTGACTGACAGACCGTTTTAAAAAGGCTTCCAAAACACGCTTTGTTTCCTCCTTCACGTTAATTAGGCTGCCGCCATCATCTGCAGGTTTGCCACTTGTATCCATCCTACATTACTGCACTAAAATATAGAAAAGAAACAGATTTACAGGAGTGACACAATAATAATAAGGTTTCACTTACAACTGGACTGTCAAATTGTTCCTATACAAAACCTGGTTCTTAAACACCAGGAGTGGGCAACTGTGGCCCTCCAGCTGTTGGTGAACTACAAGTCCCACCATGCCTCTGCCTTTGGGAGTCATGCTTGTAACTGTCAGTTTTGCAATGCCTCATGGGACTTGTGGTTCTACAACAGCTGGAGGGCCATAGTTGCCCACCCCTGCTATACACTATATTGCCAAAAGTATTGTCCCCGCCCTCCAAATCATGTGATTCAGGTGTTCCAATCAGCTCCATGACGCAGGTGTATAAAATCATCACCTAGGCATGCAGATTGCTTCTACAAACATTTGTGAAAGAATGGGTCGCTCTCAGGACACCCCGGTCTTTGTGCTGGGAGCGTGGAGCGCGACGTACGGCGCGCTCCCAGCACAAAAACAGGTATTCTTGTCTCAAATATGCGGGCCCAATCATTACCAATTTCTTAATCATTGGTGGCAACAGAACGACCGATTTTTCGTTTTTTTTCGGCTGAAAATTCGTCCGATGAACCGTCTATGGCAGGCCTTGAAATTTCCACGCGCCTGCTCGCCAATGGCGAGTGGAAATCATAGTGGGGGCGAGTGTCCCCCCCAGGGCCGTCTTGCTGAGCAGGCTCGGAGCTCAGGCCGGATCTGTCATTGGCACTGGGAGCCGTCAGACTGCTCAATAGCTGAGCGCAGTGAAAGCAAAGGAAGGAGTGTGTGCTGTGCTCTCTGCCTCCCCCTAGAGTGCAGTACCCGGCTCTGTGAGTGAACAACGAAGTGCTGCAACTTTTTATAGGGTATGTGTGTGTGTGTGTCTGTACATGTGTGTATCTGTACATGTGTCTGTGTATGCATGTACATGTATGTGTGTACATGTGTCTGTGTGTGTGTATGTACGGACATGTGTCTGTGTCTACATGTGTCTGTGTATGTACATGTGTGTGCATGTGTATTTTTGTGTATGTACATATATCTGTATGCGTCTGTACGTGTCTGTGTGTGTATACATGTGTCTGTGTGTGTGTGTGTGTACATGTGTCTCTGTGCGTGTGTGTGTGTACAGGTGTCTCTGTTTGTGTATACGGTGAATGCAGGGTCCGGGCAGACCCGATACCGTGAATGCAGGGTCCGGGCAGACCCGATACCGTGAATGCAGGGTCCGGGCAGACCGGATGTAGTTAAGGCAGGGTCCTCGGAGACCGGATATAGTGAATGCAGGGTCCGGGCAGACCGTATATACTGAATGCAGGGTCCAGGGTTTAGTAACACTTTAAGGAAGTATCTAATTCCATTATGACACAATGTCTAGAAGAGACACCAGAGGCTTCCTCTGTCTGTGGAATTCCCCTATTACACGGGTGAGGAGACACATCTAGGATATCAGCATAGACTATCCCTGACTCACGCAGATAAGTCCAGCACTTGGGATGATTGTATTTCGGGAGTTGGGCGTAACCTTATGATGACAGCAAATACATTTTGCATATTTATCCTCGAAAATACTTCCTTGTTGTGATGAAACAGGATGACGTAAAAGGTTGCATAACACTACCAACACCTTTGTAGTTTTCAGGTACAGATGCACAGAGTGACATTTTCGGCTGTGTAATGATGTTTAACCCCTCGTCCTCCAGAGGATTTCCCCCCCTTCCTAACCAGTCCATTTTGTGCGTTACTGCGCTGCGTTACTTTAACTGACAATTGCGCGGTCATGCAACGCTGCACCCAAATTAAATTTACAACCTTTTTTCCAACTAATAGAGCTTTCTTTTGGTGGTATTTACTTGCCTGTGCATTTTTATTTTTTTGGGCTATAAAAAAGGAAAAAAAAAAAAAAAAAAAAAAAAAAAGGACCGAAAATTTTCAGACCAGAAAAAACACCCAAATATTTTTTACTTTTTGCTATTAAACATGTCCAGTAAGAAAATTTTAAAAAAAATAAAATTTCGTCCTAAATTTAGGCCAAAGTGTATTCTGCTCCATGTCTTTGCCAAAAGAAAATCCCAATACGTGTAAATTAATTTGTTTACGTGAAAGTTATAGCGTTTACAAATGGCGGTATAGATACTGGGATTTTTTTCTATACTAGTATTTAAATCTTCACAAAAGTCACAATAAAGTCTTCAGAAATAGCACCTGAAATTGCGCACAAATCGCAGCGCTGTGACCGCTGACTTAGATCATTATTATGCAGAAAGATCAGTCATTTCCGGAAATGTGGCTGGTGTCATGTCCAACGGCCATTTAAGATGCAAACGTCCTCTTTTAGTACAAGCGTAAAATAAAACTGTAAAATACAGTGTTAGACATTTTTCATTTTCTAAAAATAGTCAGGTTACTCTAAAAGATTTGTTTTTCTCCCATTTGCACCGTAGAAGAATGTCAGTAAACCTGTTTCTACCATCACAAGGACGGATTCCGAGAAAAAGACGTAAAACTGCAAAGCAAACTTTCTGCCCAGAAATACAACGCCGTGTGCAGAGAGAAAACTTGGCGGCCAACAACTTACACTACGAAAGGTCAACTGCTAAAAACGGTAGGTTAGGTGTCGACAGGATAAAAAAATAAATAAATAAATAATAATAAAAAAAGAAATATTATATATAGTTGTGTAAATAGAAAAGAAAAAAGAATAGAAAAAAGAGAAGAAAAAGAAAAGAAAAAAAGCCGAAAAAAAGAAGAAAGATGAAAAAAGAAAAAGGGGAAGAAAAAAAGAAAAAGGGGAAGAAAAAAAGAAAAAAAGGGGAAGAAAAAAAGAAAAAAAAGGCCGAAAAAGAAAAAAAGAAAAAGAAAAGGGGAAAAAAAAAAGAAAAGGGGAAGAAAAAAAGAAAAGAAAAAAAGGAGAAGAAAAGAAGAAAAAGGAGGAAGAAAAGAAGAAAAGAGAAGAAGAAAAAAAAAGAAAAGGAGAAGAAACAAGAAAAGAAGAAAAAGAAAGAAAAGAAAAGTGATGTCCAAAAAAATGCAAAGAAGTAAAAAAAAAAAAAAAAGGAGAAAAAAAAGAAAAAAAGAAGAAAAAGAAGAAATTTGAGAAGAAAAGTCAGAAAGAAAAGATGAAGGAAAAAGAAAAAGAAGTAAAGATGAAAAAAAGAAAAAAAAGTGAAGAGAAAAAAGAAAAAAGAAAAAACTGAAAAAAAGAAAAGAAAAGGAGATGAAAAAAAAAAAAAAGAAAAAAAAGAAAAAAGGAGAAGAAAAAAGGAAAAAGAAGAAGTAAAGAAAAAAGGAAAAGAAGAAGAAGAAAAAAAGGGAAAAGAAGAAGAAGAAAAAAGGAAAAGAAGAAGAAAAAAAAAAGAAAAGAAGAAGAAAAGAAAAGGGATGAAAAAAAAAAGAAAAAGAAGAAAAAAAAGAAATGAGAAGAAAAAAGAAATGAGAAGAAAAAAAGAAATGAGAAGAAAAAAAGAAATGAGAGAAAAAAAAAAAAATAGCTCTGCCTGTGATCTTGCACATGAACTGTATTATACAGTGAGGAACAGAAGTATTTGAACCCCCTGCGATTTTGCACGTTCTCCACTTAGAAATCATGGAGGGGTCTGAAGGTGTGTAAACGCATCTGAACGCTAGGTGTGTTTAGCCATTGAGCGTTCATTTTAATGGCCAGAATAAACTACTATTCCAACCAATGAAATCAATGACTGCCAAAACGCATTTTAAAAATGCGGCTTTAGGCACATTTTTAATGCTGCTTTTCTCCCATGAAGAGAAAAGCGTTCAGAAGAGCCCAGTGTACATTATTATTATACAGGATTTATATATTATTATTATACAGGATTTATATTATTATTATTATACAGGATTTATATAGCGCCAACAGTTTGCTCAGCGCTTTACAATATAACAGGAGACAATACAGTAACAATACAGTTCAATACAAGAGGGATAGGAGGGCCCTGATCCTGGGAGCTTACAATCTAGGAGGGAGGGGCTAGTGGTACAAAAAGGTAATAACTGTGGGGGATGGACTGGTTGGAAGAGTAGAAGATTCCAGTATTAATTGAGGGCGGGTAGGCTTCCCTGAATAGATAGGTTTTCAGAGATCGCCTAAAAGTGAGCAGAGTAGGCGATAGTCTGATAAATTGGGGTAGAGAGTTCCAGAGGATGGGGAAGCTCTGGAGAAGTCCTGGAGACGAGCATGGGAGGAGGAGACAAGGGAGCTAGAGAGCAGGAGGTCATGCGAGGAGCGGATAGTACGGTTTGGGTGATATTTGGAGACAAGATTGGTAATGTAATTGGGGGTAGAGTTATGAACGGCTTTATATGTTATTGTTAGTGTTTTGAATTTTATCCGTTGGGCAATGGGAAGCCAGTGGAGGGATTGGGAGAGGGGTGGAGGAGTGGAGGGATTGGAAGAGGGGTGGAGGACAATGAGTGGAGGACAGTGGAGGGATTGGCAGAGAGGGGTGGAGGACACTGAGTAGAGGCCAGTGGAGGGATTGGCAGAGAGGGGTGGAGGACACTGAGTGGAGGCCAGTGGAGGGATTGGCAGAGAGGGGTGGAGGACACTGAGTGGAGGCCAGTGGAGGGATTGGCAGAGAGGGGTGGAGGACAATGAGTAGAGGTCAGTGGAGGGATTGGCAGAGAGGGGTGGAGGACACTGAGTGGAGGTCAGTGGAGGGATTGGCAGAGAGGGGTGGAGGACAATGAGTGGAGGTCAGTGGAGGGATTGGCAGAGAGGGGTGGAGGACAATGAGTGGAGGTCAGTGGAGGGATTGGCAGAGAGGGGTGGAGGACACTGAGTAGAGGTCAGTGGAGGGATTGGCAGAGAGGGGTGGAGGACACTGAGTAGAGGCCAGTGGAGGGATTGGCAGAGAGGGGTGGAGGACACTGAGTAGAGGCCAGTGGAGGGATTGGCAGAGAGGGGTGGAAGACACTGAGTGGAGGACAGTGGAGCATTGGCAGATGTGGAGACTGAGTGGAGGACAGTGGAGGGATTGGCATTGAGGGGTGGAGAACACTGAGTGGAGGTCAGTGGAGGGATTGGCAGAGAGGGGTGGAGGACACTGAGTGGAGGTCAGTGGAGGGATTGGCAGAGAGGGGTGGAGGACAATGAGTGGAGGCCAGTGGAGGGATTGGCAGAGAGGGGTGGCAGATACAGAACGGTTAGTAAGGTGGATGAGTCTGGCGCAGCATTCATGATGACTTAGGGGATAGACTGCGATGAGGTCGGCCAATAAGGAGGGAGTTACAATAGTCAAGGCGAGAGATAACAAAAGAGAGTGAATACGTTGCTTAGTGGTTTCCGAGGTTAGGAATGGCCGTATCTTGGAGATGTTGTGGAGGTTGGAGATGTGGCGCAGGTTGGAGATGTGGCGCAGGTTGGAGATGTTGCGCAGGTTGGAGATGTTGCGGAGTGAAGTCTACAAGATTTGGACAGTGATTGGATTTGGGACAGATGGGAGTCCAGGATCACACCTAGTACCCTGGCATGAGGGGAGGGACTGATGATTGTGTTATTGATACATGAGGCCCCTATATGGGTGACAGTGATTGTTGATGTGACTCCACTAAGCATTGACAAAAAAACAAAGGAATGAAACGTTTTTGAACCAACGTCTGCCGGTGTATGGCCAGCGTTGTACAATAACTGGCCTTAGCAGCTATGATAGGAATGCGACCAACCAGATTCCACAGGATCCAATGGCAGCTCAGTGACCCAGACAGCCAATTATAACAATAATAGGTGACTACTGAAAACAAACAGCGACCGCGCCATAGAGAGCGACACAACAATCCCATCCTCTGCCCCAGAAGGATGATTGCAGACCAGGCGGTAATCTGTGCGTTCCAGACCTACGTCTCTGACCACATAGGCTGCCAAACCAAAGTACCACGGCGATCACATCTCCGGCGCTCGCCCCCCCCCCCCCCCCCCTCCAGTCGCCGTGGATTTCAGCCTGTCATTGACTTCGATAGGCTGCGGGCAGCAGAGCTGGAAGCTTCACCTGTGTCTTCCGGGCGCGCTAAAACGCCAGGACTGGACGCACACGAGCGATTCTGCCGCTAACAATTGGTAATGGCGGCCGTGCACACTCCGACTTTTTTTTTTTGATCGATGTGCGATTTGGTCAAAAGGATCTAATCCACAAACAATTCGGTAACTTCCCTTCCGATCAATTTAGACAATTCCGAATCAGGCTTGATCCATCGGAGTCAGTCGGCCCAGGAGGAAACCGATTGATCGTTTTGCATCGATTGGCAGCACTGAGATGATTTGATCATGGAAACGATTGTATTTTTAATTGAACAGCTTGTGCGATTATGTGGTGGAAACAGAGATGCGATCGATGATTTATGATTGGATGTTACAATTGTCTCAACTACCAATCAAAGTCCACTTCCCTGTGCGTAGTATATTGATCGAATGGGTTGTGGACTAACGATCGATTATCAGAAGAGTGATTGGAAGAGAAATCGACCATCTATCAGTCGCATGATCATTTATCGTGTATGGCCATAGATGGGCAGCACAGTGGCTAAATGGTAAACACTTCCACTTGGCAATACTAGGGTCGTTGGCTCGAATCCCAACCACGGCACCACCTGCCTGGAGTTTGCATGTTCTCCCTGTGCCTGTGTGGGTTTCCTCCAGGTACTCCGGTTTCCTCCCACACTCCAAAGACATGCTGGCAGGTGAATTGTCTCCTGTCTAAACTGTCCCTAGTATGTGTACGTATGAATGTGAGTTAGGGACCTTAGATTGTACGCTCCTCGGGGGCGGGGACTGATGTGAATGTACAATATATATGTAAATTGATGGCGCTATATAAGTACCTGTAATAAATAAGCGGCTGCCTGTCTGTCTCTATGGAATCGCTCCCTCTGTTGCTAAAGCGACTACAGATGCACCAATGCCGCTACCCAGTATTTTCACCAATACGCATGAAAATGCTCCCAAAACGGTGCTGTAAGCCGCATCGCATGAAGCTCGTCGACCAAAAGAAGCTCCTGCTCCTTTCTGAGCAACAAACTTCATGCGATGCGGTTTGCTGCGACTGCAGAGCGACAATTGCGGCAGAACCGCACCGTGTTTTTGGTAATGCTGAAAATGAACGGCACCAGAACAGGCGTGATGAGATTTGTCATGTGTGACGAGCATTTTTGGGGATGGCGGGCAAAATCTTGGCGATTCGGGCCAAGATCGCAAACATTCAAGAGTGAACCTAGCCTGAGAGAGAATTTGTAAAGAATGGAACAATAATATCCAGAAGTATGCGCAAAACAACTTCCTTTTTGTGCATTATGGCGGAACAAAAACAAACACCCAGGGAGGAACGAACGAACGCACACACACGTCCAGGAACCAAGGTCCAGAACGCAGATCTGAAAAGCCAGGAGGGACACAATGCTCCTAGATGCCCCCCAGTGCAAGAGGCCTAAAACCATATTCACACGGGTGGCAGAAGGACTCCATTCACACTTATGCGACTTTTGGACAAAAAGTCACATGACGAGTCACAGCCTATGTATTCAATGGAAGCCATTTAAATCTATGTGACTTCAAGTTGCAGTGATTTTAAACAGGTCCCTGCACTACTTTGATGTGACTTGTCAGCGACTTGAGTGCCATAGACTGCAATGTAAACTTTCAAAAGTCGCTTCAAACTCACATCGTGTTACAAAACCCAAACCCCGCGTTCGCCTCTATATCTCCGGTCTCCCCGGATCCGGTCTCCCCCCCGCATTCACTACATCCGGTCTCCCCGGACCCCGCATTCACTACATCCGGTCTCCCCGGACCCCGCATTCACTACATCCGGTCTCCCCGGACCCCGCATTCACTACATCCGGTCTCCCCGGATCCGGTCCCGCATTCACTACATCCGGTCTCTCCCCGGACCCGGCATTCACTACATCCGGTCTCCCCGGACCCCGCATTCACTACATCCGGTCATCCCCCCCGGACCCCACTACATCCGGTCTCCCCGGACCCCCCACTACATCCGGTCTCCCCGCACCCCCTACATCCGGTCTCCCGGACCCTGCATTCACTGTATACATGGTCTCCCATAGTACACACAACATGGAAATGCAATTATTTTAGTAAATATAAACTGCATTTAATCCCTTTTCTCATCAGCAGCATTATATAGCAGTCTTGTGACTTCTATCAGTGTCCCCAGCAGAGCTCTGGTTAAAGCTTGTAGGAGAAGCTTTTCATTCTCCTGATTGTCCTATGAGGCTGCAGGACCCCTGACCCTCCGTCTGGACACTGCTGATTGGTCCTGTGCTGATCACATGCACTCTCCCAAGAAAAGTAAAAAATCTCTAGCAATACACACCAAACTGAACATGTGCAGCTTACCCCCAAGGCTCTGTACAATCAGCAGATGGATTTGGGCAGGAGAAGGTGAGGATCAGAGAAGACAGGATCAAACAGCCTTTTAACACATTGCGGAGGATTAACCCCTTTTTAAAGGTGCGCTTTGTCGCGTCACGTTTAGGGGGCCAGGTCAACCAATAACGGCATTCAAATGCACGCACAGTGCGATCACTTGAACGCTGCCCGCAATTCCAAATCGCAAGGTGTGTCACGTTTGACCTTATGCACGAGGGACACGGCCCGCGAGGTCAACCGCCACACAAGCATGAGCAAACCCCAAGCCTGCGTTCCCATTTGGCGTTCAGCGAATGCAGCGCGTCTCTGCGCCACAACGGGCGACCCCTTCGTTTCAAACAGCGCCAAGTCGTTGACGCACTTGGTCGAACGTTTTTGGCGCACATTTTCCTGCGCGTTCTATCCCGTACCTTTTTTTTTTTTTTTGTGAACGCAGCGCGCCTGTGCACCACTCACAATGGACGACCCCTTTGTTTCAACTGCACCAAGTCGTTCACACACCTGGTCGAACATTTTTGCGCTTTTTAGGCACGTTTTCCTGCACATCCTATCCCACGCTTTTTTTTTTTTTTTTTTTTTTTTGCGCGCTTGGGGTGCTATCAACAATAAATGGCAGGCGTTTTCTCAGAACTTGCGAGAAATTTTGCGATTTTTTAACGCACGTTCACAAAAGTCTAAATGAACCCCAGAACTGGAGTCGCCACGTACGGTAACCAATCAGCTTCCAGCTTCAGCTGGTCGGGTTGAGCTTTGAAAATGAAAGCTGAAAGCTGATTGGTTGTCACGCCGGGCTCAGCGAGATGCTTGTGTTGTGAAATGATTGTATTTTAATTGAGCAGGTTGTGCGATTATGTGGTGGAAACAAGAGATGCGATCGATGATTTAAGATTGGATGTTACAATTGTCTCAACTACCAATCAAAGTCTGCTTCCCTGTGCGTAGTATATTGATCGAATGGGTTGTGGACTAGCGATCGATTATCAGAAGAGTGATTGGAAGAGAAATCGACCATCTATCAGTCGCATGATCATTTATCGTGTATGGCCATACATGCGATTCGGTACGTCGCACAGGGCCAGTCCAATCGCTTTGTTTCCAGATTCCTGCGCCTTTCCCGGGTGAGAAGGTGCAAGCGATTTTTTTTAAAGGTGCGGTTTGTCACGGCAGAGTCGCGTCACGTTTAGGGGGCCGTCAACCAATAACGGCATTCGAATGCACGCTGTGCGACTCACGGCCCGCAATTCCAAATTGCAAAATGTGAACGCGACCTTAGAGGGACAGTGAGGTCCGCCACAAGCGTGAGCAAACCCTAAGCCTGCGTTCCCATTCGGCGTTCAGCGAATGCAGCGAGCCTGTGCGCCACACACAATGGGCGACCCCTTTGTCTCAACAGCGCCAAGTCGTTCACGCACCTGGTCGAACATTTTTGCGCTTTTTAGGCACACGTTTCCCTGCACGTCCTATCCCACGCCTTTTTTTTTTTCTGTGAACGCAGTGCACCTGTGCG